AATTGATATGCCAACGCAGTTGGGGACCCGTCCAAACCCCTGACACTGCGTGCCCATTGTACGCATGCCTGGATACCTGTTTCAGGGGCACTCCTGGCCGAAGGAACGAGGGATCTGACCACGGGCTGAAGGTTCTGCGGCAGGCCGGTGTAATCTAAAGCCGGTGAGTACCGCGTCACCACACCCACCTCGGGACTCGGCCATGGATAAAGTCTTGAGGCAGTTCAGCACCGACTGAGCACGTTCCTGGGTGAGGCATGCTGTCTGGCTGACCGAATCCAACTCCATGCCGAGAAAAAAGATCCTCTGCGTTGGCACGAGTTTGCTCTTTTCCCAGTTGACCCGAAGACCCAACTGGCTGAGGTGTCTGAGCACCAGGTCCCTGTGTGCGCACAACTGATCGCGAGACTGTGCAAGTATGGAGTAGCCGCCTCCCCCCAAGCTCTGTAAGCACTGCCAGTTAAGCCTGACGAATACTTACAGGCCCGTTAGGGGAGACACGGGTCACCCCGCAGAGTGGTAGCGGCTGTTGGACACAGTTGCATGGCCACAGACAACTCCACCAAGGGAATGCCCGCATACCCCAAAGCAGCCCCACCATCGAGGGTGGTGAGAGCGGAGGAGCTACAAGACTTGTTTCAGGCAGTAAACGGTGCCTTCCATGATCTTGTGAGCTCCACATGCACCTCCGGAAAGAATGGCACCGGAGGGGGCGCTGAGAACCAGTGCGACCCCCACCGAGAAACCATTCATCCAGCCTCGAAGGATCAGGACACGGTGGAGGATTCCACACGAGCCTGACATTCTCGGCGGTCCAGGAAAGCATAGCCGTCATCTCTGGGTCTGGCTCGGACAACGCTGCCACACCCGAAGGGGGCAACACAGCCGGGTCATCATCTCCGGAGAGAGAGAGCTCACCCTCCGATGCAGCAATCGATATCTGGTCTCGAGGGGGTGAACTGAAGGAAACGGCCGGCTCCCTCCATCCTGTAGAGAGGCCAGCGCGCCCTTCCAGCCGCTCCACCGGCTGCAGAGTGCTTGAGGGGTGACGAACTCCCTCTGGGGAAGCCATTACCGTGATCCTCAAATCACCTCTGACTCCACCGGACGCAGCGCCGCTCCCCCTTTGCCGGGACGAACACTGGATCGTGGCAGAGGCAGAGGGACCCCGCCACGTTTGACATAACGGAATCTTTCATGCAACTCCGAGATGGTCATGTCCCCACAAATAGAACATGCACCATCCACGAACGTTTGCTCAGTGTGCTCAATGCCCAGACACGTGAGACAGCGATCGTGACCGTCCCGAGGCACCAGAATGCAACCGCACCCAGAAACGCAAGGGTGATAAGACATCTTTAAAAAGACGCGATCATCCGTGTTGCTCTTTTAGAGATTGCTCTAATAGTGCTGAAGCACGCAGGGGAACTGGCCACCGCACACTCCAAGTGTGGCTGTCTGCACGAAAGACGATCTTTTTCTTTCTCTCCGTGAGACCACGACCACCGCTGCAACGCCGTAATGCCCACACTCGCTCTTGCAGTCACTTGAAGAGGAGAGCAGTAGTGATGCACCACCGCTCGGTTACTACCCAGAAGTTTGGGTTAAACATTTAACCCAATCACTGGGTCAAAACGACCCAATTGCTGGGTTTGTCCCTATTTTACCCAGCACTGGGTTGTATTTAACCCAGCATTTTTTAGAGTGTATGAGAAATATAATCCATTGTAAAAGTGGATGCAACGTGTTCATTGTGTTATAAATCATCATACTCTTAAAAGCTCTAACCACAAATAAGTAAATATTATAATATATTAAAACTGTTCTTATGAATGTTCATGAGATGATACAACATATTACACTCTAAAAAATGCTGGGTTAAATATAACCCAGCGCTGGGTTAAAAAGGGACAAACCCAGTTATATTTAACCCAGCATTTTTTAGAGTGTATAAGGTTTTTTATAATGCATTATGCATTCATTATAATGCCTTAAGAATACTGTATTATAAATACGGGCTTCATAGAAAGTGTTACCAAAGGTTCTTTAGGAAACCCAAAATGGATCTTTTATGCCATCACTGTTAAAAACCTTAATGGACACAGTGTTATACATTAGAAGTAAAATATGTCCTCAAAAAGATAAAAAAATGCCCTTAAAAATCAATTCCTGGGACAAATATAGACAGCACATTTCTGACATGAGAATACGTGCGTATATGCATCCGTAACATCTCGGAGCTGCATGATTCTGCTGCCTGCAGCTGCGTTGGGCTGTTTTCTATTTTATGAATGGATGCTGGGAGGGGCCATGATGTCAATACTCCCAGTGAGAAGCCCCCCCCCCCCACCACCACCACCTCCAGGTGTGGGAAAAGCCTTCATAACCACCGAGCTAAATCTGAGAATCCCCCCAGCCTCCCTCCTCCACGTATCCCACGCATCCATCCGTATGCACTCGCCGCCCCTCTCCTTCCAACCACACCTGTTCTCCTATCAGAGGAACCAGCTTCAGCCAGTCTGCTAAGGGGCTTGCTGACGCCAGAAGACCCCCCTTTCTTTTCTCTCTCTCTCTCGTACTCCTTTTTCGCCACTAAAAGAGTGGCATGAATAATCCATGCCAGATAAAGAACTGCAGCAGAGAGGGACGTGATCACAAGCCTCGCTCGTGCACATACGCACACCCTCGAACACACACACACACACGCGCGTGTATCGTGAGCAGGGCTGATGGAGGCAGAGCAGAGGGGCGTGTAAGACTGCAGTGGCATCCTTCTTCTCCGCTCGACGTGTGCAGAACGATCTTCCTCTTGAGCTCCGAAAGCTGAAGCCGGGATGTTCTGCTTCTGCCTGCAGGGCTCTTTGCTGAAGCTCCAGGCTCTGGAGGGAGACACCAGCCCTTCTTCAGACACCTCTCCCGAAGAAAGTCCACCCAGCCTGGGATTCAAAGACGAAATCCTGATTCCTTCGTGCAATGGCGTTGGGCAAGAGCACAGCTCACCAGGTAAGAGAGCCGACAGTGCTTTATGGGTATACCATGTGAGTGCCTGATGGTCCGAATGAATGGTGGGCTGCTACGTTGCATGAATGAATGAATATGGTCTGCTGAAATGAAAACCCACTGACTGACTAACATGACTGATAGGAGGGCTGGGCTTATTTGTTTATGGGTTTTGTGAAGAAGGTGGCTCTTGTTTTTTGGGCACATGTGAGTCACTTGCCTGAGCCGCTTCACACTGGCATCTATTAATAACGCAGGCACTGAGATCGCAGGCACCTCCTAACAGCACGACTTTAACACACAAGCACATGTATTCATACCACAGTTTGGCGAGATTCTTTATGCACTACCTCTTGCATACGTCATTGGACTGATTTTTATCTGCTCTAAAAGCTAACAAATGATGCTGTAGCTTTCTTCAGAGCAAACTTCACTCTTCTGAGCAGTTACTTTTAACCAGCTGGTCATTTCTGAGCTCTAGTCCTAGCAGAGTATACACACGTGTACAGTAGTATAGATGATTTTGACAACCATGAAGTATTTTTTTTTAGTAAGCATGTAATTTCATCTAATGAAGTGACATTTATACACTACTGTTCAAAAGTGGTTTTGAAAATTTTAGAAAGAAGTGACTTATGCTCAACAAGGTTGCATTTAATTAATCAAAAATACAATAAAAACATTAATATTATATTATGTCACATTATATTTGAAACATTTTTAAAATGTCATTTATTCCTGTGATGCAAAGCTGAATTTTCAGCATCATTACTCTAGTCTTCAATGTTACATGATCCTTCAGAAATCTAATATATATATTATATACATATTCTAATATGCTGATTTGCTGTTCAATAAACATTTATTATTATTATTATTATCATCATTTTGTGTTGAAAATAGTGCTGCTTAATGTTTTTGTTGAAACTTTTTTTTAATAGAAGGTTTAAAATAACAGCATTTGTTTAAAATGGAAATATTTTGTAACATTATAAATGTCTTTACTGTCATTTTTGATCAGTTTAAAAATGTAAATTTTTCACGAACGCTCACACAAAGTACTGACCCCAAACTTTTGAATGGTAGTGTACATTTTGAAGCTTAAGTGAACTACTGAAGCCACCGTTTGTTAACGTTTTTGGTTCACAATCACTGTATGCCCCAGTCTGTGGATTGTCTTGTTAAGGTTTTAATGGGTCAGAGAGTTTACGGTGACTCAGGTTTCAGTGTGTTCGTGTGTGTGTGTGTTAAGCTCAGCAGTTTGTCATTTGTTCACTCTGTTCGCTTCCAGATGTCTCTCTGCATCTTTGTTTTCATTTGTGTCTGCTATTGTTCTTTTTGGAAAAGTGTGGAATGCTGAGGTTTGCTTGAGTCAGTATGAATGGTGAATTTGCATTATTAATAATCATGCTACAAAACTTCTTCGTTTTGATTAATTAAGGTGTCCTATCCCAAAAATTGTATTAAAAGATCTCATTGCTCTTTTTACGAAATTAAAGTACGATTTTCTTGTCACACCATTTCTGAAACCTGACACTCAAACACCAGAACCACACACCAAATCTGTAAAACCATATGCTAATTCTTGGCCTTTGACTCAGTTTTCAATTTCATAAAACACTTTTTGCAAAATACAACACACAATTCTCTATGTAACAAACAAAAATAATTAATATTATGGCAAATGTGTTTGCAAATGTTTGCTTTTGAGATGTGTTTGTGATATTTTGAATGCAGTGCTTCATTTTGCAAGAGATGTGAGGCGTTTTGCATTTTGTGTGTGCAATTATTGGATTTGTGTGTTAAGTTTTGAAAATGTGTAAGAAGTTGGAAAAAATGATCTTATACAGGGTTTTATAATTATAGTATTGGCGCTTTCTAAATTATTAGCAGTGTTTTCTAAGACAAGCATCACTATTACAGTTTAGTGTTAGTGAATTAAACAATCCCCTAGTGGTACGTTTTAAACTTCAGCACGTAACTTGTCCAACGATGTTCATGCTATGAAATGAAAGATACAGTACATAAAATCATGCATCTTGTTGTGGACAGGTGTACTATTACTTTTCTAACTAGCCATATTTATGATTTTCTCCTTGTAGACAACTAAAAAAGGATGAAAATTCCTATAGAGCCTCAAGCTTTATCTTTAAAAAAAAATATCATACATTTTTTGGGACAGGCCTTTTTAAACTTGGGCCACTAAGCACTGAGTTTAAAATACCCTAGCAACTCATAAGTCAGTATATTACAGAAACAAATTAGTTAGCGAGGGCCATTTATTCTCACTAGTTTATACAGTTACTGAGCTCATTTTTAAGTAACAAACATTTCAGTGCAGTAGATACGTTTCTGATAAAGGAACAGCCCTAGTAATGGCTCACTGCCTTGGTAGTGTACTTATTATTGAACTAGAGAGCTAACTGAAGCCCACCCTAGAAACCATATGCAATAACAACCCCACAGAACACTTAAGCAAACACATATCAACACCCTGGCAACAGCAGATAACATACATAGCAATACAGTAGCATCCACTCAGAACATTTGAGCAGCCACATGTAATCACCATGGCAACCACCCACAACATCTTAGCAACTGCATAGCAACACAATAACAACCACTCAGAACACATATGCAACTGCATAGCGACTCCCTAGAAACAGCCCAGAACGTCTAACAGCTGCAAAGCAACACAGTAACTACCCACTCAGAACACATGAGCAACCACATAACAAATCCCTAGCAACAGCCTACAAACAATATCATTTAGAATAAATAGGCAACTCCCTAACAACAGCCAATAATATTTAGTAATTTCAGAACATCTTAGCAACAGCATCTCCCTAGCAACAACCCAGAACGCCTTTGAAACTGCCAAGCAACACAATATCAATAACTCGATATAAATAGGCAATTGCATAACACAGTAATGTTCACTCGTGACATCCTAGCAACTACATATAAACACCTTGGCAACTGCATAGGAACTCCCTAGCAACAGCTCACAACACCTAGCAACTGCATAGCACCACAGAAACAACCCACACACAGCAGCTTAGCATCCATATAAAAGCACCCCGGCAACCACTCACACATAGCACATTACCAACCACATATCAGCCCCCTAGCAACAGGCCAGAACACCTTTGAAACTATATAGCAACTCCTAACAACTGTCCATAACACCTAGCAACTCCATAGCAACACATTAACATCCACTCAGAACATCTTAGCAACCACATATAAACACCCTGGCAACCACTGACATAGCAACTCCCTAGCAACAGCCCAGAACACATTTGAAACTGTACAGGAACTCCTAGCAACTGTCCCTAACACCTAGCAACTCCATAGCAACACATTAACATTCACTCAGAACATCTTAGCAACCTCATATAAACACCCTGGCAACCACTCACACATAGCAGCTCCCTAGCAACAGCCCAGAACACATTTGAAACTGTACAGGAACTCCTAGCAACTGTCCCTAACACCTAGCAACTCCATAGCAACACATTAACATCCACTCAGAACATCTTAGCAACCACATATAAACACCCTGGCAACCACTCACACATAGCAGCTCCCTAGCAACAGCCCAGAACACATTTGAAACTGTACAGGAACTCCTAGCAACTGTCCCTAACACCTAGCAACTCCATAGCAACACATTAACATCCACTCAGAACATCTTAGCAACCACATATAAACACCCTGGCAACCACTCACACATAGCAGCTCCCTAGCAACAGCCCAGAACACATTTGAAACTGTACAGGAACTCCTAGCAACTGTCCCTAACACCTAGCAACTCCATAGCAACACATTAACATTCACTCAGAACATCTTAGCAACCTCATATAAACACCCTGGCAACCACTCACACATAGCAGCTCCCTAGCAACAGCCCAGAACACATTTGAAACTGTACAGGAACTCCTAGCAACTGTCCCTAACACCTAGCAACTCCATAGCAACACATTAACATTCACTCAGAACATCTTAGCAACCTCATATAAACACCCTGGCAACCACTCACACATAGCAGCTCCCTAGCAACAGCCCAGAACACATTTGAAACTGTACAGGAACTCCTAGCAACTGTCCCTAACACCGAGCAACTCCATAGCAACACATTAACATTCACTCAGAACTTCTTAGCAACCACATATAAACACCCCGGCAACCACTCACACATAGCACATTACCAACCACATATCAGCCCCCTAGCAACAGGCCAGAACACCTTTGAAACTATATAGCAACTCCTAACAACTGTCCATAACACCTAGCAACTCCATAGCAACACATTAACATCCACTCAGAACATCTTAGCAACCACATATAAACACCCTGGCAACCACTGACATAGCAACTCCCTAGCAACAGCCCAGAACACATTTGAAACTGTACAGGAACTCCTGGCAACTGTCCCTAACACCTAGCAACTTCATAGCAACACATTAACATCCACTCAGAACATTTTAGCAATCACATATAAACACCCTGGAAACCACGCACAACACTTTGGAATCGTGCTGGCAGATTTTGCACAGCAAGCACTACTCACTTTTTTTTCAGATAATTTAACTGTTTAGTTGTATTTGAAATGAATCAGATTGGATATCAGGCAACTGTGAGAAAATCTTCTGTCTTTTCCAGATGAATTGCTCAGTTTGAATCGTAATCTGAGGGTTAGCAGCCCTCAGACACACTGCTTTTATCCCAGCGTGGGACTCTGATCTCTGTGTGTGTGTGTGTGTGTTCAGACTGTAGGCTGGCAGAGGGTGACTGTAGCAGTGATCTCCAGCAGAGCCCGGGGCCCAGTCGACTCATCCAGCACATCACAGATGACAACAGCCCCCTGCCCTCCCCACGCTGCTCCAGCCTCAGCCGGAGCCAACGCTTCAACACAGACCCTGAATGTGCCCCGTCTCCACCCTGCGCACAGCATCTCATCATGTACGAGCACACACACACACACACACACACACACATATATGTTGGGTTTCCATGTTTTATGGGGACGTTCCATAGACATAATGATTTTAAACAGTGCAAATTGTATTTTCTATCCCCTTAGTCTAAACCTACCCCTCACATAAAACTTTCAGCATTTTTAGATTTTCAAAAAAGATAATTCTATATGATTTACAAGCTGTTTTCCTTGTGGGGACCGAAAAAAAATCCACAAGGACAAGGATTTTTGAATATTTTGTCCCTCTAACATATAGTAGGGTATACCTGAACCACGCATACACACACACACAACTCTTTCGGTTGGCCTGTTCAGTCGAAATACCTCCTTTCCCTTTTCCTGGAGAGCAAGTCTCAGAATCAGCTGGCTGCAGCTAGTAACACAGTGACCCACTTTTTAAACCTGATTTTCATTTCTCATTATTAACATGAATTTCCTGCTGACTAATGCTGTAGTGATGGAAACAGACATCTGTGACAGCCTATATTGTGTGTGTGTGTGTGTGTGTGTGTGTATGCTGAGATGGGAAATAGGCAATGACTTTTCCAAAATTATGTTTGCTTGTTTATTGGTGTTTATGATGTTCTCACTCTGACTCACTAGGTTTGTACTAGTAGTTAATAGTACTAATAGATCCATACATTATTAAGATAAATAATGTAATAGAGTCAAATAAACTGGACAGGACACAAGATTACATGGCTGCTTAGAAAATTAATTTGAGTTTAAATGATGATTAAATTGATCAAAAGTGACAGTAAGTTTGTAATGTTAAATGTATAATATGACCCTGGAGCACAAAAGCAGTCTTAAGTCGCTGGGGTATATTTGTAGCAATAGCCAAAAATACATTGTATGGGTCAAAATTATATATTTTTCTTTTATGCCAAAAATCATTAGCATATTAAGTAAAGACCATGTTCCATTAAGATATTTTGTAAATTTCCTACCGTAAATATCAAAACATAATTTTTGATTAGTAATATGCATTGCTAAGAACTTCATTTGGAAAACTTTAAAGGCGATTTTCTCAATATTTAGATTTTTTTGCACCCTCAGATTCCAGATTTTCAAATAGTTGCATCTCGACCAAATATTGTCCTATCCTAACAAACCATACATCAATGGAAATCTTATTTATTCAGCTTTTAGATGATGTATAAATATCAATTAAAAAAAATTGACACTTAAGACTGGTTTTGTGATCCAAGGTCACATATGTTATACATGTTAAGTTTATAAATTTTAAGTATATAACACATTTCTATTTCAAATAGCCTAAATCCATCAAAAAATCTCGAAAATGTATCATGGTATCCACAAAAAACATTAAGCATCATAACTGTATTCAACATTGACAATAATAAGAAATGTTTCTTGAGAAGCAAATCAGCATATTAGAATGATTTCTGAAGAATCACGTGATACTGAAGACTGGGGTAACTTCAGCTTTGCATCGCAGGAATAAATTGCATTTAAAATATATTACAATACACTAGTTTTTGATCAGCTTTGGTGAGCATAAGAGACTTTCAAAAATCTTACAGACACCAAACCTTTGAACAGTAGTAGTATACACTGTATAATTTAATGTTAAATACACATTTAGTATCTGTATCAAATTCACAAAGTGTTTCTAACAACAGAAAATTTGCATTACTATCAAGACTGCATTTTTGCAGTTTTATTAATCCGATTAACGTAGCCTGGTCTATATGATCCTTGTAGTTGTACAAGTGTGTTTATATGTGTGTCTGCTTTCTTCTATTTAGGGCTCGTGGAGTTGTTAGAACAGAGGTTCCTGGAGATGCAAAGGAAGCTACTTCCATCCCACTCCTCACCAAACACATCCAAACTCTCAAGAGGAAAATACGCAGGTTTGAGGAGCGCTTTGAGCACGAAATGAACTATAAGGTCAGAATAATAAGAAATCCTGGATATACTGTATTTTATGAACAATTCCACAACATTTAAAGTTGTTGTTTAGTTCCCTCTACTGGAGAAGAATCGTACTACTGTGCTGTGTGATTTCATATAGATAACCAAGAGAATCATTGGTCATATATGATAGTGTAGGCCTACATATGATTCCAGATAAGAAGATACAGCTCCTGAATTGAGTTTGTACCTGTTCTCACCCACAGCCTTCACATAATGATAAATCGGCCAATCCAGAGATGTTCAAGCTCATAAGTGAACTAGCCAGGTCTCGCAAGCAGCTCAAAGGTAAGGTGCCACTCCGAATAATAAAACGTAATTCATGGGCCAGTTTATTAATTAAAACAATTTTAAAAGATTAATTGTTACATGGCTCTCAGGACATTCTTATACATTTTATAGTAATGTCTGTGAAACCATGTTCAGATTTACCTTATCTTTAAAAAAAAAGAGTCAAACATAAATGCATAATGAGTAGATTCAAATTTTGTTGTCACTCTTAGATGTTTTTTTTTATAATAATAATGATAATGTTAATAATGGTAAATGTTATTTAAAAAAAATATAAAAATACCATTTTGAATATAAAAATTTCAAAACAAATGAATTCGTTTTTTCTAATATTTTAATATATTTTTTTAAAGAGAAATTGAAATTGAGAGAAATTTTTATTTTTTTTTATATGAAAAAAAAAAAATATA